CACTGCCAGTCCAAACATTGCACATACAGGCCAACACTTGTGATAGAGGAAGGAGGAGTCCAGCAGGCGAGTGTAACTGCACGTTAGCCCGCGCACAAGATGTCCAAAAGAGGAACAACCACCTACACCACCAGGCTTTTATTTTGAAAGTTTTATACTCTTGATAACATCTGAAGTAAAGGTGCTGTCATTAAGTCTTAAGGTTTCTATCTCAAGACGTGTAGGCGAGGACATCAATGGGTGCTAAATGCAGTAAGAGACATATCACAAAATGTAAATAGGCTACTTTATATAAATCATGAAAATAATATAACAAGCTATTTAGTGTTTATTGATGCCAAAACAAAGCACTTCACTCACAGCATTTACTGTATCAACAATTACTGTGTGTTTACTGTAAAGGTGTGTGTGCGTGTGTGTGTAATAAATGTGTCTATTGATTGAAGTCGTTGTGATGCTGAAGTGGATTTATGTTCCTTTAAAGCAAAGAATAGATCCATGGAGAAATGTTGATGATGTTTAAAGGTCCCATGTCATGGCCATTTCTACTGATCATATTTCCATTGTTGAGGTCTACTAGAATAGATTTATATTGTGCAATTTTCCAAACTCAAATTGGTTTCTCATACAGCATCTCTGTATAGTGTATTCACTCTCTGTCCTAAACGGCTTGTTGGAGCTCCTGCCCCTCCCTGTGAGCCTAGTATGCTCTGATTGGTCGGGACGTTGCGAGGCTCGCTGCTCAGTGTGGCTTGATATTGAGGGAAAAAAAGGTTTATAAACGCTGTGAGAATGGGTCTGCGGAGAGCATTTATCCGCGATCCCAACTCGTCTATTACCAACCAGGGAGCTCTATGCAAGTTAATGGGACTCCCTGTTAGTTGAACCTTTACGCTAAAGGTCCCCCCACTGCGTTTGATAGTGACGCCAAGGGATCCTGGTGTGTGAGGAGCTCCGCGGATTGGTCCATTTTGGTTCAGCCGAAAGAAACAAATGGAAAAAGAGAAATGTCCAACGACGAGGCGTTCTGAAACATGGACAATTGTTTGATATCCAGGTAGTTCAGACACTCTCCAACTACAGGGATTATATTCTGGAAAATTATATTTACCTGCTGCAGCTGTTAGCTAATTCAAGCAAAGATGACCACTTGATTACCTGGATAGAACAGACGTTTCTTGCTGCAGTGGAAAATGCCCACCTAAACAGTAAAGTTGCAAGCTAGTAAATTAAACAAAGAGCAAAGGATGAAAAAAAGCATTTGATAAAGCCATTAATTGAACGAGGAAACACAGACTCTCGCAAAAAGAAACTGGATAGTTTACTATGATTTTACTCAAATCAGTGTTCCAGTGCAAATACAAGTCAGTCACTAACAGGATCATTCCCAACCCCAACGATGTCCATCAGCAACAGTCCATCAGCTTATTCGTGGTAACATCTCGGACACATTTAAGGAAACGTCGGACAAGAGCGGTGTTTCAACCAGCAGCACGATCATAAAGCACGATCACATTCTGCAGGCCTCAGAGCAAAGCATTCACGTTTTACACAAGACAGATCTCAGGTCACTTAACATTTGAAAATGAAATGAGAGAAACGGGCCTTAAGACCAGAGTCAGATGGTGATACTTTTTTCAAATAATTGATTAATAAACGTGTTTTATGACCCGACAGTCCATGGGAAGAGTGTAACCGGGCATTTTCTCCCAAAAAACATTAGTGAAATTAATAATCAACCTCGGTACGATACAAACGCCATAAAAATCAGAGACATTAAATAATCAATGTGCACCGACCAGTCTGCATGCATTTAGCTCAGTTTAAAAAAATGTGTTGATGTATATGTGATGCAAATAACATATATTTATAGTTATTGATTAAATTCTTATAATTAAAAACTTTAACAATTCACCAAAGCCCAATTTGTTGTCATCAAATTGCAGTATCTGAAAATCAAACATTCAGTTTACTATCAGAAAAGATGAAGCACATTTTACTTAATTGAGACGCTGGAGAATGTTGGGTGTTTAAAGTTTTAAATTAATTTCTTACAGTCACTTAAGCTGAGTTTTCATTATGTTTTTTTTCCAGGTTAAAGGTGGGGTAGGTAAGTTTGAGAAACCGGCTCGAGATACACTTGTTATATTCCATGGAATGCTCTTAACATCCCGATAACAATTAATATATTAAGTACTTTGACAAAAAATCCATAAAAAAATGTCATCTGTGGAAGCCGTAGTACTGTAAAAAGCACGACCAATCATCTGAGCCGGCCAGGCTAACAGGTAAACTTGGAGTGGGCCGTACCGCTGCTGCAGCCGTTCATTTGGCAACAAACTTATCTCGTGCTCAACACACACAAACACCACCACAGGCGTCTCGTCCCACCAGCGTGGCGCGCTGTGTTCGAGCCCCTCGGTCGGTTCGGCCAGCGCGTGTGTTGGAGGAGCGCGGGCGCTCTGTAAGGAAGTGACAGATTTTCATCGCGTTCGTAATTTCTCAAATTTAGCGAGCACGTCGCAGCCGGTTCTCCAACACATACCCTACACCCACCTTCTAAGACGTGTGGTAGGCTACTGAACGAGGGATTAGGCTAACATGTGAGATTTCTTTTGAGAACACCAAAAAAAAGTCAGAACTCTGAAAATAAAGAATAAAAAAATCAGGAGGACTCGAAGCTGAGGAATTCGAGATGAACAAAAAACAAAGGTAGAATTTAGAGCCTACAAGAAAATAAATGCTGAACTACCGGGCGAAATAAGTCAGAATCAGACATTTGAGAAAAAAAAGAACAGAATTGCTGACTTATTCTAGACAGAGAAAAAACGTTGGGTGCGGCCATATCCCCCCACGAAAATGTTTTCCTTCACTCTACTCTTCCAAACATTCGGACAAAAGGGATCATTTGTATTGTTAATGTAGATTCGCCCAGGCTGGATTCGTGCCTGCTTTGATTCTCAGACGTTGGATCGAAACTATGCTTGTGAAAGATGTTTAAAGGGCAACAACCTGAAAATCATTTTACAAAGGCGTGGAACAGACAACTAGCATACATATGTAGTCCAACGTGGCAATTGCCATACACAGTGTCAACAAATCAAAGGCAAAAACAATGCATCCCGTATAAAAGAATAACTTAAATAAAAACATCGCATATCAACTACACACACATGCACCCAGGGCCCTGCTTCACCTGTAACGCGCGTTAACTTGGCACAACTTCACATTCGCTCATTCTTTTCTTGATTGCACACAACATGTCATCCGAGGCCGACAATTTTAAACTACAGTTACAAACACAGACGTTCCCCTTTTTAAGTCTGGAGGCTGGGATATCAGCGCGTGTACACGACCGATAAAAAAAGAAGATCGAATATACGCCGACAAGCAACACACGCATGCGTTTTCCTGAGCAAAATGAAGAAGAAAGAATCAGCAGCGCTAATTCCTCCTGAACTTGGAGAAAAGACATACATTCATCGACGCTTTCCCGAAAGTAGCAGCTCCTCTTTAATGCACAATGCTTCAACTCCAAAGCCATTGACGTTTAATACAAAACGTAGTTAAAGCTTCTGTGAAGACTCGTCCTGCTATTAAACGGCCATCACAACAGGTTATTCCCAAACGAATCATTTACATTTTAAATTACTGCATTTTTTTAGCAAGCGCCACATTTGAGGGATTCGGTCAATCAAAAATGGGCAAACAACCAAAGTCGCAAAGGGTCAAATACATTCACAGGTTAGGTAGTTAGCTGGCCATAAGAAATGTGTTAACAGGAGGCAAGTGGTCTTCTCCTTTAAGCCCCACGGATTAAAGCTAGAACCTATGTTCATTTTGTCATTATTCATTCACGCACACCAGTAACGAAGGGACCATCATCCGTCTGTCATTTTTCCAACCAGTTTAAAGATTAAACGCACGGCTACTCCACACATCAACAACGCAGACGTTTTCGAGGCAGAGGCATTCCTTTTCTGTGATTT